GCCCACCATGCCCCGGCCATGAAGGGCTACCAGGTGAGTCGCAGTCTGTCGCAGCACTCCTCTGGGCCTTGCTACTGCATGCCTGAGGACTGCGACACTGCGCGGGACTACATGCACCACCCTGACCACTACCAGGGGCACAATGACCACCCCTACTACCCGCCTGGTGGTCCACCTGAACCGTCGGCCATGGTCCCATCTGGTGGAGGCACCTTCCCTCGTTCACACCCCAGTCAGCCACAGCCCTACGACTCGACGTGTGAAGAGTGTATAACCTCGGCAGGGCATGGCCATGGTCATGGGGGAAAGATGCACCGTATCCCACCAAACCTTCTGGATCAGTTCGAGAAACAGTTGCCCTTCCACCCAGACGGCTTCCACACCCTGCAGTACCAACGCACGGCCAGTGGGGAACAACGCAGCGAGAGTCCGAGTCGCATACGGCATCTGGTAAACTCGGTTCAGCGTCTCTTTGCCAAGTCACATTCACTGGAGACGCCCTCTAAACGAGAGTTTAATGGCACTCGTGGGGGAGAGTACCGGGACAGAGATAGGGGGCACCGCAGCGGTGGCGAGGAAAGCGGTGGACATCATTATTCGGGAACGCACCAGTCTCGCTCAGCCCGTCGGAACAAGAGTCGAGAACGAAGTAAGAGTGGAGACTCCCGCCATGAGTCTCGAAGCTCCCGCCACCGCAGCAAAACAGCTGGATGGTGGAGCTCCGATGACAACCTGGACAGTGACAGCAGCTTTCTGGTGGGTGCGGGCAGGGGGGGACGCGGGTATCCCACCGGACACGAGACCCTGGATGCTGCCATCCAGGAGCTTACCTTGAGGAAATCTAAGGGTCCACCTCCAGGAGAGTGCCTGGCTTGCAACAACATAGCCATGGCAGGGGACAGCGGACACTCTCTGAAGAGGAGCACATGGTCGGCCTTGACGGTCAATCAGGCTAGAGAAGTATATCCATCTTCGCGTGGAGGTGGAGGAGGATATGAGAAGGCATTGGTTCCTCTAGATCCCAAAATGAAGGAACGATCACTCCACTATCTGCAGGCAAGTTCTGCATATGTATGTATGTGACAGGGTTGTGCTACATTCAGAATTGACGAATCGGCTTCCTTAGATCTATCTATCTATCTATCTA